GTTCCAACGAAAAAAGCCCTAGCTCCCTCAATCTTTCCTCATATGACCTGCCCTCCAGTCCATGCAGCAGCCTGATAAATCTCCTCTGCACCTTCTCTAAAGCTTCCACATTCTTCCTATAATGAGGCAACCAGAACTGAACAAAATATTCCAAGTGTGGTCTAACCAGGGTTTTATAGAGCTGCAGCATAACCTCGTGGCTCTTAAACTCAATTCCCCTGCCAATGAAAGCCAACACACCATATGCCTTGTTTACAACCCTATCAACTTGGGTAGCAACTTTGAGGGATTAATGGACGTGGGCCCCAAGATCCCTCTGTTCCTCCACACTGCCAAGAATCCTGCCATTAACCCTGTATTCTGCATTCAAATTCGACCTTCCAAAATGAATCACTTCACACTTTTCTGGGTTGAATTCCATCTGCCACTTCTTTGCCCAGCTCTGCATTCTGTCAATTTTTTGAAGATCCAGTGTTGTTCTTTCCTATATCAGAACTTGTGTAAGGGAATATTGGCCTATTTATCTATTCCCTGAAGAATGTAATGTGTAAACACTTAAGGTAATGCCCAAGAAGTTGAATCGTCTCTGTCTGTGTGGTGGAGTATCCCCAGAAGGTTTTTAGTTAAGGAGTTTCAGCTGAATCGTGTGTAACTTGAACAAATGCATCTGTATCTTTATATTCTAGGTGGTGGAGATTGGAGGTTTGAAACATGCTGCTGAGAATTCTTGGCTACTTGCTGCAGTGCACCCAGTCGATACCGCACATTGCAGCCACATTTCTAGATCGATGGAGGCAAGACGTAATCAGTGAAAATGTGCTACTCAAGCTGACTGCTTAATTTCATAATCTTAGGGGTTGTGCATGTAACTGACAAAGCTAGCATCAGTTACCTGTAACAGGGGAGAAAAAGCAAGATTCAACAAGGAATATTCAAAAGGCAAATTGCTATTTCCATTTTTTTCTTCTAGACTCCCTCTGCTGGTACATGTATATGATGGTCTCAAGTGGTCAAAATGCGCCATGCAATTTTCAATAAATCTCCATTTCTAAATAAATGAGAAGGATAGCATGCTTCAATGGTTTGATTCCAAAATTATAAATAAATGTAACATAAACATTCAACTTCAACAATAACGCTACTGTATATTCTAAAACTATTATATTTTTCTATCAATTTAACAATACACTTAGTCATGTACAATGAAATGAAAGATTTTTCAATCAACAGATAATAGATTACTGATGTGCTTCAAAGGCATGCAAAGTGGTTGAGTTTTCCATAGGCTTTACATTGTTTGACAGCAGTAGGACACGATCGAGTATGGGTAAACAACACCAGAGTGGAATAAATTTTAACTGTATTTGTGAGACTGCTGTATTTGCTTGTGGTTTCCTGCAATGAACAGCATTCACAGGAGTTGGAATATGGGATCTATTGTCAATGGCCTCAGCCTCAGTGACTCTAGACTCTGAAATTAAAAAAAATGATCTTGGCACCTCTGACATCTTTATGTTTTTTTCACATGTTTTTGGAATAGTTAACTAGGGAGACAACGTTCTGTTGAGTTGTAGCCATTTTCGTATCCTACAGGTGTAATTGTGTTGAAAACGCCTTCAAATCCTTTTCCCCATTTTGGAAAAGTAAGACCTTTTCCTACTGTCATCTGTGATTGTGAAACCTGCCATTATTCCTTCAAAACATTGCAGCCACTATTGCCAATATGGGAATGCAGAATAAAACTCCAAATACACCTAAAAATATGGTAGATTGGCATTGACAATGCAAACTTAATCAGCAATACAGTGTCACTGTATACTCAAAGACCCACAATCAATTTTATTTTATAGACAAAAACTATTTGTAATGACCCAAAATCATTAAATTTTGGTCAAGTGTTGTATTTTGCAATATCAGTCTGTGTGCACACAGTACAGGCTTTCCTGTTCCTAAGCCCTGAAGCTGGAATGTCTCTTGTGTGTCTAATAACAGACCACACATGTAAAGTGTTCCTTAAAGCCCCAGTTTAAAACAACATCAGCAGAAAAGTAGACAAATCTTCTAAGCATTGTACATAAATGAAAGCAATGTTCCATAAATTCATCCTCTTCATTGATATTGTTAAGTTCTTCAAAAGGAATGACAAGATTCAGCAAAATTCACGTGGAAGCATTCAGAATCAGACTGCAAGTGCTGTTAAAACACTGGCTCCTTTATTCTTCTTCTAAACTTCCGGTACTGGTACATATATGACTATGGTGGCCTTAAGTTGGAAAAATGCACAATGCAATTTTCAACATTTTCCATCCCTAATTGATCTTGATACTTCTGAGCTGGTTTCTTGAGCTATCGCAGCCCATCTAGTGTTGGTGTATTTGTTCTGAATGATGCAGGACTTCTTTAATGATGCTGCAGTCACAAACTTTCAAAGAACTGCAAAGTATTCTATTACATTTCCAACTTGTGTCTTGTAGGTGCTGAAGAGGCTTTGTGGAGCAAATAAGTGAGCTATTTGTCATAGAATGTGGAGGTCCTAACCTGGTCTAGTAGCCATGCTGTTTATATGGTGCATCCACTTGAATTTCTTGATTAATGATGGCTCCTAGAGACTTGATCATGATGGTTATCACTGGAAGATGACGAGGGCCTCTCTTCTTTGAGATAGCCATTACCTGGCAGTAATGTAATATGTATGTTATTTAATACTGGCCCAAGCTTTGATGCATTTTGACATGGAATGCTTCATTATTTCAGAAACCACAAATAGAGCTGACCACTTGCGACTAGAAAACAACCCACTTCTCATTTCATGATCAAAGAAAGGCCATCAATGAAGCAGTTGAAAATAGTTAATTTGTTATCAATGTCCTGGGGCTGAAATGATGACATACAACAATCACAACCATCTTTCTTTGTGCTTGGTGTAATTTCTTCTTGATACCCATTGAATTTAGTCTTTCCAGGATTCCTTGGTACCACATTGAATTGAATGCTTCCTTGATGTTGAGGAAAGTCATTCTCACTCTAACTCTGGAGTTCAGCTCTGATGTCCATGTTTGAATTAAAGCTGCAATGAAGGCTGAGCCTGAGTGGTGCTAGTGAAAGCCAAGCTAGGCAACTGTGTGCATGTTACTGCTAAGTATGTGCAGCTTGGCAGGCCTGTTGACAATTGCTGTCAGCTCTGCTAACAATTGGGAATAGGCTGATTCTAACTGAGGACTGGACAACTTTCTTCAATTTTTGGTAGATAGCAAGGAATTGCACTTGAATACCTTTGGAATAGTGTGAAACAAAATGGCTGAAGCCTAGGATCTGTGGTGGTGGGAACTTCAGGGGGAGGTTAAGAAGGATAATCATTCAGAACTTTTGGCTGAATATGGTTGCAATTATCATTCAAACTATTGAAAGGTAGAGACTCGAACCATCATAACCTATGATATCTCTTTACAGATGATGGCCTACCCATGAAAATATTTTTCTGTTTTATTTCAGACTTCCAGTATATGCAGTTTTTTTTATTTTTACTGGGTAGGTTTCTGCTATAATTTCTAACAGATCATGATTATTGTTCTAAAATGAAGGTATACTTCATTGCACTCATTTTGAACCAAAGCTGTTTCATCTAAGAACATCAATCAATACTAACTTGCAAGTAAATATCATCCTTAGCATAAAGAAACAATGAGAACTGGGCAGATGGCTGAGAAATGATAGTATGCTTGCCAAATTTAGAAAGGCAAGGGAGGTTTGAGGTGGGTGAGTAATTGGAGAGAATGATGGTTCAACATGTTTCTTTTTATGATAGAGGCAATGACAGTGACTTTAAAAGGCAAGGTTACAGTAGTGGAAAACAAATCGAGGCTTCAACAATATTGGCAAACACAAAGGCGAAAAGTAATTAGGTGGTGCTGCATTCAGTATGGGGAAACTGAGAGCAGGAGCTGTGTATTATTGAAGTGTTTGCAAAGGGTGTGGAAAGGAAACAGAGAGAAGCAGAGTGATGGAGGCTTAGGTGGTGGTGTTGTGGGAGTGGGGTTTGGGAGTACGTAAGGGGAGTGATCAATGAAAGGAGCTGTGAAAGGCTTAAGGTGACAGATAAGGAGGCATAGTGGCAACAATTTTAGAGGTGAAGGAATCTAGGAAGTCTCATCATTGGTACAGAAGATTAGAAAGGAGGGGACACAAACTGTTTTGTTGGCATTGGTCCTTAATTAAGGCATAAAGTGCCACTGATTATGTCTGTATTGATTCTGCCATGACTTCTGCACCACTTCGTCCTTTGACAGACCTTCTAAAGCAAAATGTGTTGAGTTCAACCTTTTCGTTGAATGAAAATAGACCTTAGAAGAAAACGACCTGCAACCCTTTCGCAGTTTGCTGAAGAATTCCAGAGCCTGTTATAGTAGCACCATTAGATGGACACGCTGCCTTTCAAAGATCAATGGCAGGGATAATCAACAATTTGCTTTTGTAAGTCCGCCTGGGGGCTCTGTGACCTTTCTGCAATCGGTTGATTGGGTTATGTGATAAACCCTTAAATACGAAATATTCATGCTTTTTGTTTAGTTACAAGGTAAAGCAGTGGGTGGTGTGTATTGCAAGGGATCAGACTAGAAAATTACTATTGGAGGGCAATGTTTCAAAATAATAAAGGCAGTTTCTGAATAGTTCTTTTTTAGGTAGTAAAAAGCTGACTAAATGATCTGATATCGTGCGCAATCAATTTGCACACTCAGCAAAATATTCGGCATATTACCTGGAAGAAAGCGGAAACTTGATGAGTAAATGATAGACGTCATAAGGTCACTCAGGGAAATTTTCGTACTGTCAATGAAAGGTATATAAACAATGCAAGCAGGTGTAAAGATTCAGAAAATTAAGTGCTGCGTACAACTTGGTAGCAGTGCGATATCAGTCAGCCTCATCTTAACCGTAATTAAGGTGAAAAGTAAAACCGTTTTGATTTGCAAGTGCACCAGATCTGTCTGATAATTGCCTTCATGATGTACTCCCTCCAGGGTTTAGCAGTACTGGCACTTAGCTATTTTGCTATCATGGCCAATTGTGCGCCGCGTTTGAAATCAAAGCGCTCCAACATGGTTTGCCGAGTGGAAGAACAATTGCTACGATATATGAGACACAAATTCCACGCTCTGTCTGACGAGGTGAGAAAAAGACTAGTAACTTTCAATCTATTCCATGCAAACTACATGGAGTTTTTAATAACATTAGTTCAAATGTATCATTTTCACAGGCTCAAAAAATCGACACGGATACTGACACAAGACTGATAGGAAGGGATCTATTTCAAGGACTCCGGGTAAAACTTTTGCCTGATGCTATTTTCTTCAAGCTGACTGAATGCAAGTTGGTTAGCATGGAAGGTTTTTATTCGGAGAATAAATCAAATGTGGATGGTTTATTTTGCAGGGGCAGGGTAAATGTTACGTGCTTAAAGAGGTGATTGATTTCTACCTGGGAAACGTCCTAGCACCTGAGGAGCTACACACCAAATATTCACATCTAAAGGAGATCAAAGAGTTTCTGGCTCTTCTGATTAAACGGCACATGTCCGATTGCGTAAGCATTTCCTTTTCTGAGTTAATTTTGTAGAAGATGCACTGGAGGCTAAAGCACACAAAACCAGAAAGTGCTGCAGAAATTCAACAGGTCTGGCAGCATCTGTAGAGAGAGGAACAACAGTAACTTTCGAGACCAGTGACCTATCTTGGAAATGAGGGCAGCTAGGAAAAGGTGGTGTTTATATCCCCCACTTCTAGCTGAAGGGTCACTGGGCTCAAAAGCTTAACCGTGCTTTCTCTCCACAAATGCTGCCAGACCTGTTGAGTTTCTCCAGCAATTTCCGTGTTTGTTTCAGATTGACAGAGTCAGCAGTTCTTTGTTTTAGCATACGCACTGGATGCTGTCAGCTTCTTCAACAGACACTAGAAGAAATGGGTAGCCTTATAACACTCCATTTGAAGGATAAAACGTTAAGACCAACTACAGCAAAAAAATAGTCCTTTCTGCTGACAATTTGCTAAAGGTTTGTAATTCATTTACTCGTGTACTTTTTTTTAGAATACAGAAGACAGAACTCAAGCAAACCATAACATTAACCTACTGAAACAGAAACTGAACCAGGTAACGTTTGAAGCAAATTGACCTCACTTTTCATGTTTTTGGCTTAATCTAATCATGAAGATGCTACTTGTAATATATTTCACCAATCCTGTTAATCATTTCTATAAAACTGATTCCTTGTCTTTTACAGCCATTACTCTTAAGCAAAAGTTGAAAATGCTGAAGATATTCAGCAGATCAGGCAGGATGATCCTCAGGTGCTGCCTGACCTGCTGAGTATTTCCGCTATTTTCTCTTTTCTTTTACACTAATTTAATCTCAAAGTAATCACACATCTAAGGCTGAGTCAAACAGAATTGATCTGACTAGAGTTCAGCTGCATGACACTCAGTTGTTTGCATATTTACCAATGAATTGCATTGATTGACTGTTATTTTTGCTAATGTTTTTCCAGCTCAGTGAGAAGGGAGTAGCCAAGGTCATTGGAGAGCTATTCATGCTGCTTCAGGAGATTGGAAAGCATTGTTCAGCACCACCCACGAATGAACCTGGTCACTAGAGGAAATCAGTAGCTGATGAATAATGGAGCCCTGTCAGGGCGGTTGAATATCTGTTATAGTTATCTAAGGACATCTTTTCTTAACTTAACAACAAAGAATATTTATTTCTGATGTATTTATTGTGTATAATTTTATACACATCATTGTATTTACTTACAGTAAACTATGTGTAGCAATCAGCATTGCTAAGTGACATTTGTTACATGACATTGTTCTAAGTGGCATAAAATTTAAGATTGTATCTTTAATTTTTAAAAAATAAATATTTTTAATAACACAGAGCATATGATCAGTTCATTTTTTGCAGTTTATGTAGTAAAAGTGTTTTCTGTACAAAATGTTCTCTATCCAGCTTAGCATGGTATAACATAAAGCATTGTTATTGCAAACTCCAAACTTATTCCTATGTTGAAAGGTCTAGTGCCTAACTTGCAAATAAAACAAATAATTAGGGCAAAAGATGAACTAAAATACACTTGCTCCTTTAAAATTGAAAATCACAGTAATATTAAAGTTTAGTTGAATGTAGAAATATTCTCATTCATTTAGTTGATGAGTTTAATGGAAAATAATCTTCAAGCCATTCCCCATCCTAACTTGGAAATATATCACTATTCCTTCATTGTTGTTGGTTCAAAATCCTGCAATTCCCTCCCTAATGGTATTGTGAGTCAACAGCAGGTGGAGTGCAGTGGTTGAAGAAAGTAGCTCACCACCACCTTTTCAAGGGCAATAAACGGTGGCCAGCCAGAGATGCCCACATTCCACAAATTTAAAAAAAATCTGATTGAGATCATAGCTGCTAAAACACCAATTTATGTCAAACATGTAGCCTTCAGAAAATGGTTCATATCTTGTATGCCAAAACAAACTGATGAAAATGTGCAAAACAAATTAGGAAAACATATATTTAACTGATCCTGCACTTTCATTATTTCCTTTTATTTGTTTAAATGCACTGAGTAAACTGGGAGTCTTTAAAACATGATTCCTTTTTTAGTACAAATAATTTGTAATCATGCAAACAAATGTTAGTCAGAATTTTTAAAAGGTGCCAGGCATTTTTTTGTTTTAGTTTGATTATTTAAAAACTATCTTCCGTCACTACAACACAAATAACTGATAATATTGTATACAATGTTTGCCTTAGATTGGATTTCAGAAATGCAGACTGTTTTCACCACTTGTACCTGTAAGTATACATACACATAAAAATCATACTGAAAACTTGGAATAAAATAATGAGACAGAACACTCAGAGGTATTGGAATCATAAATCAAAGAAACATTCCAACAATGATGACATAAAATATGATATGATTAAAACTCACAATTTGATTTTACATTGTCAGATCACACACAAATGACATAGATCTCAACTTATATTCATTCACATACACATAAAGAAAATGGGAAATCGAAAGTAGATCAAATATTTTATTGTATCATATAACAAAGAGATTTTAAAACATTTAAATGACAATTTCCATTATAAAGTATTGGGCAATTCTTTTTATAAATGATTCAAAATGAAAGTCTAAGTTGTGCAGCTATGTAGTTGCCCATCATGTGCACAATGTCAATTGAGATGATTCTCAATGATGCAGACTATGTCCTTTTAAGAAATGTTCTTTCAGAGAATTTTGAGTGGGTAATTAATGACTAAAACTAAAATAAAAAAAAAGTAGTACTTGATTTTGAACTTTATTGTTCCACGTTTTTCAATTGGAGAATGTACTTACATACAAACCCAACCCTTGCAACCATGATCAAACTGAGAATTATTAAGCTACTTTAATCACCTTTCACATTGGTTATTGATGTTGAATGGGGAAATTCAATGCTTCTAAAGAATCTAATTTCAGAAAGCACTTGTCAAAATATCAAACAGAAGATTAAAGAGTATGGAATTAGTGGTAGAGTAGAAAATTTGATTGAAAGCTAATTAGAAGAATGGAAACAGAATTACAGAAAAAGGCAGTTTCTCAGTGGTTGGAAGCTGTGGTTTCAAAAGGGTTTGTTCTGTAGCTACTTCTCTTCACTATGCATGTTAACAATTCCAATACAGGGATAAAGGGATTCATGTCCAATCTGCCAGGCAATATGAAAATAACAGGTGGACCAAATAATTCAGAGGACCAAAGGATGTTGCAAAGGGATAAGCAAACACCGTCTCAATTTAATTTCTAATTTGAAAGATAGATGCCCTGGCAATGCAGTATTCTCATACTGTCATTGTTTTAGTTCCATGAGAACTAAAATACCAACACGAGATTAGGTACAGTTGCTGGAGTGGAGCTTGTGCTCAAGGTTTTCTGGTTCAGGTATTAAGAACAAACATTGCTGTCAAGCTCAAGTCATATCTGATATAAATTGCATGAGTAAGTGAATACATTTAACAATATTTTGTAATAGTTTCTAAGATATTTCTCTCTTGTATTGTCTTGGTTCTTAAGTCTTCCTTGTGGGCTCTATATATTTACTTTGGATTCCAGAGATTTAATTCCATTTCTGAATTTTCATCAGCTTTTCCATTTTCTATGGAGTTTTAGAAGTAAATATAGTAGCCAATTTCTGATCAATTAATTAAACTATTAATTATGATATAACAAAGTTGTTGATTATTTGAATTATTAATGGACAGTTTTATACCATCAAATAAATTGCTGAAAGTCAGTAAAAGAAAAAAATTATTAGAGTGAATGGACGACTGAAAAGTTTGGAAAAACTGGAGTCCTCATTTAAATTAACATCCAGCAAATGTGTCACTTCATTGCTTGATCTGCTAAACCAGTTATTCATTGAAACAAACCCTGGATTAAACAATTTACCACACACAAACCTCATGATGATACATTTTAGAAGATGCACCCACTTATGGAGACAGAAGGTCAATTCAAATAAAACAGCTCATAAAGCAACTTGCTTAGTAATACCTGAAGTAGTCAGGGTAACAGACCATGTCCATCTTAAAAACATTTTGTAAAAGTTGGTGAGTCAAAGTGTTCAGAACACTGCTTCTTACAAAATGGCAGTGGACTCACTACTGTCTCAATGCTTTTATTAAACAGGTCGATCTATTAACAATCAGGATTCTGTTGACAGCTATTCTGGTTAGTATAGGGGCAACACAGCAAGCAGTAAGGCTTCAACATACAGTGTTGAAAGATTCATCTCTTTATAAGAGACATCAACTGCTTTTAGGTAAGTAAATTTGAAATTAGTTTACTGTGCCAGCATAATGATCAGAATGAATTGGTGCCACAGGATGAGATTGTTCTGTGTATAAAATAAATTAAATGTGAAATTTTCTGGAGTGCATATATTCTGTGTATGATTCAATTCCAAAGAATTTAAAAACATTAAACAACAACATGCTTTGTAGAGGCTGTACACAATTTTGTTTGCAGAGTTATAGAAACAATATATTGAAAACATTGAGAAGAACTTTATATACCAGGAACCCATGGATTATGAATAAGCAAAACCTTGTATTTTAGTGGCCTATAGAAATAATTATGCTATTTAATTGATGGCTCAATTTATCATGAATGGAACTATCTACAGTGTAACATATAGTGATAATTAAGAAAGGAAAAACCAGAATATTACAGATCTGTCATCAACTTAACATCATGTTAGGAGCAGTTATTGGATTCCAACAGCAGATGAGAGTATTTGGACAAGATTGAACTAGCTAACTATCCTGGTTGAACTTTTTGAGGAGGTCACCAGTGATCTGTGTAATGTTGTATGGCTGTTGTCTATTTGAACTTCCGTAGGCATTTAGGAAATTTCCGAACAAATTATTAAGAAAAATTAAACTGCACATAATTGGATGTAACCTTTCAACTTGGATTGGTAATTTGTTGCAAGAATACAGGATAAGGAGCATTTTAGCTTTCATTAGATGTGACAACTTATGTTCCCAAGGATTTATACTGAAGCATCATTTTGTCATCTTATACAAAAATTAGTTGGATGAACGAATAAGGAGTTTTCTACCGAACTACTCTGTTAAGAGTCACAGGGAGTCACAAGAGAACATTGACGACGTAAGAAAATGATCAAACTATGGCAGAGTTCAGAGTTGGAAATTGAGAGATAATCCACCAATGATTCAAGAAGAATAAATTAGAATATTGAGAGATTTGTATTTGTGGTGGAGTGAATGGATTTAGGTATTTATGCACAAATTGCTCAAAGCTTGTAAACAGATCAAAAAAAGGTACTCAAAAAGACAATGTAACTTTATTCCAGGGAGTTGGGATACAAACAAGTGACATTTCAGATTTTTATTTCTTAGTCAAGCCTGATCTGCAGAACTGCATTCAATCTGGAAAGGAAAGTTGCACTGTGTTTGGGAGGCAGATGGTGCATTCACTAGAATGGCACTACAGCTTAAAGGGCTAAATAGTGAAGATACATTGCACAAATGTGGTCTATATTCCTTTCAGTATAGAAAGCGGACTGAATGCATTTTTCCACAGGAGGCAGCAGAAATCTAAAATCCTCTCCCAGAAAGTCAATTGAACCTTTGAGATTGTGATTGATTGATTTTTGTTGGGCAACGATATCAAGCAATATGAAGAAATACAGCTTTACCACATACACTAAGCTGAATGACTGTTTCTGATCCTACTTTTGTATGTTTTCTAAAAATACTGGTGAATAATTATTCACTAGTTCCCAAATGAGCACTTAGTGAACAATCACATATCCATAAACTTTGTTGCGTGAACAGGCTAGATAGTGAATGGCCTTCCTTGCAGCTCAACATTTAATATTCTGCTTTTATCAGATTTCTTCACATCGGCATTGACTTAATAAAGTTGTATGCAGAGGAGTAGGGGGAGAAAGTGAGTCAACCTTATCTGTTTTCAAGGAATTCCAAATATCTGGCTCAATAGTAGCATTGCCACTAGAGGCCAGAGAATATATCATTCCAGCGTCACCTTACTCAAGGTTGGTGAGTGGTGAAGCCAGTGCGCATTAATAG